TATCGTATCATTGAGCAAGATTGCAACGTTTCGACTTCCCTTAGCAAAGCTTGCATTTTTGCACTTTTTTCGACATTACTGTCCAATGTGGAGAAGCTTTCGAACTCGGAGAGTTGATTTATTTTGAACTCGATTTCTGCCGTGGTGGGATGAAAATATAATCAATATTCATTGTAGATGGGTCCAGTTCGCTAACAATTTCATCTACTGTAGCCGGTTCATCTCTTATGATTTCGTTGAAGTTGATCTGGAATCCCATGAATTCTCTTGTTTCATGGACAGATCATATTCAATTGAGGAACTGCTAATAGTGGAGTGAACTCATTTTTCTCATCATCTCTGGTTTTGGATTAGGAATCATCTGGAAAGTGCCTTGAAATTTAACGAAGTTCCCAAAACCTCCAAGAAGTTCTTTGAGCTTTTTTGAAGTAAGATCTCTGACAAGCAGCAACGAAGTTCCCTAAACTAATTTCCCTAAACTTTTTCAAAATTCCTTACACTTATATGAAGTTTTACGCAGCTCCTCAAAATGCTACGAAATTCGCAAAACTTCTACGTTTCTCGTTGATTTGCGCGAAGTTCCAGTCTATGAGACTTAAAATAATTGCCCTGAAATTGTATAGAGGTTCTCGATGAATATTGAGCTTCCCTGATATGAAATGTTCCCTTAACTTCCACGAAGCTCCTCAAACTTAAATAAATCTTCCACTTCTACACAGTTTTCAAAACTTTTCCAATTTCCTTGTTTCTACGAATTTTTCTGAAGATCTATGAAATTCCCAGAACTTCTACTAAGTTTCCTCAATTTCTACGATGTATCCTGTTTTTGAGTAGATATTGAAGTTTTACAAAGTTCCCCGAGACTAAAGAAAAATCCCTGGGCTCATGGCCAGTTTGTAGAGCCTTATCTACATTTTACATCTTATTATTTATCCATAACATCTCTGATCACGCCTTCCTTCGGAAGGGAAGTAAAGCCGTTGGTCCCCGGTTCATGAGTTGATGGGTCGATAGGTAGGGTCCAGATGTGGGAGCTGCCTTCCTGGCGTCGGTAGCATTGGTGCTCAGCACGGAAAACAAGATCGACGGAAAACAAATTAAGGAAAAAAAAATCTTATTATATATTTTATATCATTTCTCAAAATTGCATCTTCTAGTCTAGTGGTCAATTACAAAAAGCAGCATCGATCTTGACAAGCTTGCCAAAATACCGGTGAGACAAAATAAGCACCAAAAATTCTGGAAGGGGCTAGATAATGTTGAGGGAGGGTATGCCATATGATAAGATTGGTAAACGTTAAATGATTGAACCCACACAGACTGTCACGCAGAGACTTAGGAAAATTCAGCGGCAGCTCGAAATCAGCCGTATTTTGAAGTGCGTATGTTTCATTTGAAGAAACCCAAATAACTGGTTTGCTCAGTCGTAAAAATGTAATCAGATTGTAGCTAAAACAAACTAAGGAATCGGTTAAATGCATTCAGCGAAGTGTTTTTTAATGAGAAAATACTGTGAAATTACCGTTTAAATTTTGGTTGCCGAAAACAGTCAATGGATGCCGAAGCCATATTTTACCCTACATACACATGCATAGGCTAAGAAAAGTTTTCAAGATTCTGAGTTTTGATGTACGGGGCTCGGTGGCTTAGTGGCGACAAAAATGCCAAAATTACCTCAAAAGGGTTGAAAATGGTCTTGAGTCTCCAAAACGGCCTGAAAAACACTAGAAATTTAAAAAAAAATACCGATGGCCTCGGCGCACATTGGGACGAAATAAAAAAAAAAAGAAAGACATGGCTATTTGCGACGAAACTATTGAGTTAAGCATTTGATGTCTTCTAGAAAGTTTCTTAAATTTTTTAATACTTTATTGCAGTGTTAAAATGTTTTACTTAAGGGGGGTATACACTAAAATTTAAAAAATACTTTATTATGTCTTGTTGAAATTTATGATCATCTATTGAAACATTGTAGATTAAGTCATTTTAAGAAATGTTGTCGAAAACGTTAAATTTCCATCTCTCAAGTGGACGAAGTAACCGGGTGAAAATGGAGTACAATAAGTAGTAACTCCTTAAAAACCGTTTTTTTACCATAACTATTTTTTTTTTCAATGCTCTACAAAGCTGTAAGTGCAATAAAAATGCTTATTTTTGCTGCAAAAAGAAATCGCTTTCCCTTTGTTTTAAGGATTTAAGTCTATTTTTATATTTTTAACGCTTTCTATAAGGGGATCTTGCAGTCTTGCAGGTTAAGGGGATGCATAATGAATTTTCTAAAAAGGGCCTCAATGTTTTGTTACGTTTTGCTGTTTTCATGGCCACTTTTTCGAGTGTTTACATTAGAGTGGGTTTCTCCCTGCTCTTTCAATGCTTATTTTGGTCCCCAACAGAAATCTAAATATTGCTCAAATTTCACCAAAACTCGGGCTTAGATTGAGAATACTATACCGAACAACTTTGTCGAAGGTACAACCCACTCTAAAGTACATACCTGGAAAAATGGTCATGAAAACAGTAAAACGTAACAAAACATTGAGGTACTTTATTACAAAATTCATTAGGCATCCCCTTGGATCCCCCTATGAATTGCATATGTAACAGTAGGGTATAAATTGCTGAACAAAATTACGTCGAGTTTAGCTGCTAATACCTGCTAACCTGCAAGATACACTCCCTTCGAAGTTAGTGTTGAAAAATTATAAATACGTTTGTAAATCCTTCACATGAAGAGATAGTGATTTGCTTTGTTGAGCAAAAATGTGCATTTTTAGAGTACTTACAAATAAGTACAGCATTGAGAAAATCGGAAAATTCAAACTAAAAAGTTATGGTAAAAAAAAACGGTTTTTAAGGGGGTTCTAGCGTTAGAACTTCATTTTCACCCAATAACATCGTCTATTTGAGGGATAGAAAATTGACGTCTTCGACAAAGTTTCTTGAAATTACTTCATCTATAATATTTCCATAGATTTTCATCAATTTCAACAAGACATAAAAAAGTTATTTTTTGTCTTAGTGTATAGCCCCCTTAATCAAAAATGTTTACTTCTCAAGTCAAGTAGTCAGAACATTCTAAAATACATCAAAATGCTACACTCAATAGTTTCGTCGCAAATAGCCATTTCCCACTATTTTTGATTTCGTCCCACTGTGCAGCGTAGCAATAGATCAGTGCACGGTCCCTAACCTCACTTTTTGCTCCCTATCATTTTGCTTCTGAGTAAAAGAGATAGCAACGAATGGGAGCCAAAACAAACCACCCAAAACTGTCAAAACTTACGGGTGAGAGAAGAGTGCGGCAAATCTTCGTGAACTGATCAATTAGCATCCATACCTTGGTAAGCGTGATTACCTCTCACCCCAGTAGGCCTGGGTTCAATCCCAGTCGGCGCCGCCGGGATGTTCTGAGGCATAACATCTCTGATCACGCTTTCCTTCGGATGGGAAGTAAAGCCGTTGGTCCCCGGTTCACGAGTTGATGGGTCGATAGGTAGGGTCCAGGTGTGGGAGATGCCTTCCTGGCACGTCGGTAGCATTGGTGCTCAGCACGGAAAACAAGATCGACGGAAAAAACAAACCAAAGGAAAAAAAAAAAAAAAAAGCATCCATACCTCTCGGACAAGTCACGAATGCTCCAACACGGAGAAAAAATATTACCCAAAATTTGAGTTCTTTTGACTTTCTTTTGAATTGAGTCTCTCACTTTCACCCGTTATTGTTGTCAAAAAAGGAACGAGAGATTCGTCCCAATCATACAGTTCAGCCCAATAAGTTACTTTTGAGTAAATTACATATTCTCAAATTTACGTAACTTAATTTTGGGTAGAATATACTTAAGAGGAAGTAAATTCTTTTCTGGTGTTAAATTGAAACTACTATATACGATTTACTCAAATTTGGGTTATTGGGCTGACCCGGGAATTGAGGGAAAAGTACCTAATTTTGGGCACTTTTTCATTTCCGTGAAGAGACTATAAAAAAAATAAAGAAAAATACCCTTATTTACACGAAATTGTGTGCCTTGAAACGCCAAAATGGCATTGTAAAAAATGTGATAAAGCAATGAAAAATTAATGCTCGCCTCTACAGAAAATATATTTGTACAGCTATATCGTGAATGACTTGAAGAAATGGAACCAAAAGCTTGCATTTCCCATAGAAACAAACACTTACCAAAAGTTACCATTCAATATATTGTACTAACAAAGTCAGTTTTTAACTAAATTAGATAACATTTTGGGAGGGTAGACCCCGATGTGGAATCGTCTAAGCACTGTGGGACATACATTTCAAGAATGTGAGAATGCATTTTCAAAATATCTGCATCAATCAGCCAATGGGGTAAACGCTCCTGCAGTTGCGGTACGTAAGAAGCGTTAGCTTCCTATAGTTGTGTAAGAGAAAAGATGTGCCAGAAACAACTCTTTGACGGCAACCAGCATTTTAAGGAAATCTTCCCAAAGAGGTATTCACAAAGAATTGACAAACTCCACAAGCATACAGATTACGACGGATCGATAAAAAAAAATAAGGAAATCAACTCAAGGCAAAACTCTACCATCTGAAACATGTGTCGAAAATTAGTAACGAGTTTTCAAAATCCAAAACAAGTTTAGATCAGAAACGCCAAAACTGGTTTACCATCCATACGGTGGTTGAAGCGCTGCGTTGGCCTTAGTTTTCTTTTGAAGGTGGAAGATATAATCGAGACAAAGAAAAACAAAACGTAAAACAAACGGGGCATAGCCACTCGGTTTAGGCAGGGGTGACCCACAAATAATAAGGGGTATTATGAAACCGCGACAGCTATGAACACGCGCTGGTGCATGGCATTGAAATTTTGGTGGGACCAGTTTGAAAGCCTTTGCCTTTGCAATTTCGCTTTTGTTTGCACCAGATCCATAACACCGCTGCCAAGAATTGAACCAGTTCATAAGTAGTATTTGCAGGAATTTACCAAATTTATAATGCTAATTCCGTTACTTATCCACATTTAGGATTCATCGTTGGAGGTTGCGCCGGTTTTGGCGTAACCGGAGGAGCTCACCGTCTGTGGACACACCGGGCGTACAAAGCGAAGCTCCCTCTGCGCATCATCCTGATGTGTTGCTACTGCATGGCTGGTCAGAACAGTCTGTACGATTGGGTCCGGGATCACCGAATCCATCACAAGTACTCCGAAACCGATGCCGACCCGCACAACTCGAACCGGGGCTTCTTCTTCGCCCACGTAGGTTGGCTGATGCTCAGGAAGCACCCGGAGTGTATCAAAAAGGGCCGTTTGATCGACATGAGCGACGTGCTGGCCGATCCGGTCATCCAATTTCACGAGAAGTACTTCGTGCCGTTGAAGATTCTGTTTACATTCGTCATTCCATCGATGATCCCGTGGTACTTCTTCAACGAAGACTTTGTTCTGTCGTTCTTGGCGAACTGTCTTCTAAGAAATACCTTGACATTGAACTTTACCTGGCTGGTGAACAGTGCCGCACACATATATGGCAATCGGCCGTTCGACAAGTGAGTAAATGCGCGGCGGAAAACGATGCAAAGCAGAAATAAATTGACAAAATGATATTGATATTTTCCCACAGACGCATCCAACCGGTGGAGAACAAAGTAGTGTCCATTGTCGCTCTTGGCGAAGGTTGGCACAACTATCATCACGTATTTCCGTGGGACTACAAGGCGGCTGAGCTGGGCAACTATTCGACCAATTTGACCACGTTCTGGTTGGATTTGTTTGCAAAGATTGGCTGGGCGTACGATATGAAAGAACCGTCCAAGGATCTGGTGCGAAGGATGATTGACAAATATGGTAAGTTTCGGTGGAAAACAGTCAATAGAATAATAATTCTTCTAACTCAATTTTCCGATTTGACTACCTACGTCTTTTGGAAGCTTACTGGAGCCCCAATCTCAAATGTAGCGAAAACAGAGACTGGCAAATGGAAACACGAACATGTGTTTTTTTAACAGGTCTCGTTTCAAACCTCTGCTGAAGCTTTCAAGTATACCTTCTAATTAATTTAGAATACATGACACAAAAGAAATATGTGTCCTCGAAAAAACAACAGAGTGGAACACGTTGCTACCCACACGGTAAGAAAAAAGTACACAAAAGTAAATTCTTTTCACTCATCTCGGCACAGTGCAGGAACCAAAAAGTAGTAAAGCGGGTCAAAGTTGTTTTCATGTACTTGTTTGCATTTCGAATGGAATTTTCTACTCGCTTTTTACCCAAAATTAAGTAAGTTGTACCCAAAAGTAGGTAAGCATGGTCATTGGCGTAACTACGCGTAAATCCTAGGGGCTAAATTTATTTTTCGGAGTTGTAATTTTGAATATTTATAAAATTACAAAATGATAACAGTAGTGAAGCATTTATTATTGATTATAAGGACAGGAAATAAAATTTCTAGCATTGTATTTGTTCTTTATAATCTGTTCCTAATAATTAATTTTATTCAGCATTGAATGTACGAACTGATGAGTTAAATTTCTCCACCACTGCACAGTGGTTCAGAATGCAGATTTAGGTGGAATGATATGTTTTGAGCCTGAAATTGAAACTTTAGACTAAAAGTCTCTTAGTTACAAAGTTGTTCCTTATAGTTAGGTCCTCATTTTTATGATAGTGAATTCTAGGGTGGTTCCTACCTTTTTTGTTTTAATGAATTAAGGTTTAAATTCTGGGGCAAAATTATAGCTGAGCTAATTTCAAGTAACTTTGTTGAAACAACTTTTTTATATCTCTTGAATTGGCCGATTTAGAGCTATTTTCTTGAATTGAGTTAGGGTGGCTCTAAAAAAACAGTTGATTTGCTCTAGTTTTCTTATTTCGAATTTGTCAGCAAAGGTGTCTGGAAATAACTTTTAGATCTTAAGAAGGCGCAAATTTTTGCCCCACAAAGCTTGTCAATATCTTTCGCCGATCAAGAATTATTAACGTTTTTATACTAAAAATACGCACTTTTCAAATGTTAATATCTCTGGTTGGGGCAAACAAAAAAATAGTCTTTTTACGGCATTTGATAGGACGTATGTATTTTTTAAACTCGTATAAAATCAATTTGAATTTATTCATATTTTTTACTAAATTTGGGTATATCTTATTTATTAGAAAGGGATACAGACAACAAATTTCACTTTAAAACATTCGTCTTAAAGAGTTTTAGAAGTCTCTGCAAGATGACATTCATGAGAAATTTCAAATAAAAAAGTTTTGCTTTGTGCAGCAAAAATTTGCACCTTCTTAAGATCTAAAAATTATTTCAAGACACCTTTGCTGAGAAATTCAAAATAAGAAAACTAGAGCAAATCAACTGTTTTTTTAGAGTTATCCTAACTCAATTCAAGAAAATAGCTCTAAATCGGCCAATTTAAGAGACATAAAAAAGTTGTTTCAACAAAGTTACTTGAAATTAGCTCAGCTATAACTTTGCCCAAGAATGTATTTATTCAAACAAAAAAGGTAGATTTTTGAATTTAATGATCATAGGAACCACCCTAGAATTCAATGTCATAAAAATGAGGGCCAACTTTGTAGAAGAGACTTTTAGTCTAAAGTTTCAATTTCAGGCTCAAAACATATCATTCCACCTAAATCTTCATTCTGGACCACTGTGCACTGCATCGACGCCAATATCCTTCAGTAATGAAGATTCCATGTGAAGCAAAGCAAGCGAAGAGAATCGATTCTGACCCATCGTAGTACGAAGCCACGTCTTGATGCGACGCATCACTGAGAAGCTTAGTTCCGCAGCTGCCGAGCTTACAAGAATAGTCAACTCATTTTGGGCCATCTTGTAAAAATTCGGCATGGTACCTCTGTCTATATTTTCTCTGATGAATGGCAAATTCCACTCTTCTTCTTTCTTAAGGACTCCTTATTCTATACCTTATTCTGTAAACCCGCATCTCTGACTCCAGGCCGATCAAGTTTATGTTCAGTTTCGGAGCGTAGATATCCACGAAAGCTTTCACTTTTTCTACATGCAGCCGTTGGAAGCAGTCAATAGCTTCAGCAATTTCCAAATTATCGAACTGACTCTCGATTCCAGAAATTATTGCAGTCAGGATTGGTTCATACCAAATGATGTACCAGTAATTTTTAATATATGGAACTATCTAAGGGTTTTTCCTGGAATCTAGACGTCGATTTTTAATCACCTGCCATTTTGGAACCAATCTAGACGACTGCAAATCAATGTCAAACCTCTTTGCACTAGTATTCGCCAATGAAGAGTGAAGCCACTTTCTGATTCGAAGTTCCACTTCTGTTCTTTGATTTCACCTTTCAACTGGTTGATGGTGGTTATCATTTCAGGGTGCTGGTAGTATCCGTCATAGACTAGCCGTTAGTCACTGTAGAGATGCTGATGTTCACTGTGTAATTCATCGAAGACGGCTCGAGATTTCCACTTAAAAAAGCTTTTGATCTTGGTCTTAGCGAACAAAATCCACCATTCCAGGAGCCATAGTTTCTGCGGAAACCTGGATCACGCGGACGCAGTTTATCCCATACGTCGTGGAGTTGCAGATGCTGGACGGTTGTTTTAAGGGCGGGACTAGTGTTTGGGATGCTAGAATCACTTGTTCGAAGCACGCAATTGAGTAGGCAAGCGTCCCATTGAGAAGAAATTCACCCTATCTGCACGTAAAGAACAGCCGGAGGGAGCTTACAGCGCAAGCAGTCGGCCGTCCACAAGCTTCTCTCGATGTGAGTGGCCTGGATGTGTTCCTTGAGGGCAATAACTGTTTCCCTTCTCGTATGATCCACATTGAAGAAAACGACGTGCTTCAGAAAAATCCCACCGACCTCGGCTTTGAACCCAGACCCATTGGGGTGAGAAAGCAGTCACGATTACCACTACACCACCGGCTCCGGCTGCCCGACAAGTAGTTTTTGATAATCTTCACGAGGTAGATCGGACATTGTATCGATGCATCTTGTACACTAGGCCATCATGCCACCAGGCTCGCGAGTTTAAAATGAGCCGTAGCCTGGGCAATGTTGTCAATCCGACAATAGCAGCGTGTGGAGGTGCGACGCGAACACTGGCGCGGTAACCATAGCACGGTGATAGAGGAAATGCTTCGCCAACCCGAGCGTCTGTTCACCATGGAGGTGCGGCTCAAACAGCGTCTGACTGGCATCCAGCGGCTGAATAAAAAATGCTCTTCCCCGGAAGCTACACCTAAGATGGCAGCCCCATCACGGCGGATAGGAGACATTAGGCCAACCACCTACTGTCTCTGAAACCTTTACAATTGTTACAGAAACCAACAGAGAAAGACATCGAAGTGTTTTAACGGCAACGGCTTTTAGCGCAAAACAACGGACACAAATTGGATCATGGAATTATTGACGTTAGCCTAGCAGGGTAAACTGGCACAACTCGCCAACGAGGCGCGACGCATGAAGCTAGAAATCCTGGGACTGAGTGAAGTTCGTTGGCAAAACTTTGGAGAACACTGCCGTCGGGACAGGCACTACTATACTCTGGTATTCGAGGTGAAAACGCTCCCCGTCATCGTGGAGTTGGTCTCCTACTTAGCGTCCAGGCAAGTGCTGCGCTCATCAAGTGGGAGCCTGTTAATGAGAGGATAATCGTAGCCAGATTTAAAACGCGGGTTCGTAACCTAACCATAATCCAATGTTATACACCAACCGATGCTGCCGAGCTACAGGACAAGAAGATTTTTTACAGTCAACTGAATGCCATCGTGGATAAGGTTCCAAAGGGTGACATCAAGATCTACACTGGCGACTTCAATGCGAAGATCGGCTCCGACAACACGGACTATGAGCGTGTCATGGAACGCCATGGTCTCGGCGAAATGAGCGAGAACGGTGAGCTGTTTGCAGAATTTTGTGGCAATTTCGACATGGTGATCGGGGGTTCACTTTTCCCCCATCGGCCAGTGCACAAAGTCACGTGGGTTTCTCGTGATGGACATACCGAAAATCAGATCGACCACATCTGCATCAGCCGAAAATGGAGACGGAGCCTTCTTGATGTCCGGAATATACGCAGCGCCGACATCGCGGTTGACCATCACCTTCTAATCGGTGAAATCCGCCTACGCATGGCGCGGATCCAGCGACGGGAGGAGAGACTCGGGCGGCGGTTCAACACACGCCGACTTGAAGATCCAGCGGTAAAAAGGTCTTTTGTTGAAAAACTTGAGACTCGATCTGCGGACGTTCCAGAAGGTGGCAGCGTAGAAGAACAATGGACGGCCATCAAGAATGCCTTTATAGAAACAAGCGAGAACAACTTGGGTGAGCTGCGCACCCAGAGGAAAGAGTCGATCACAGATGAAACCTGGCGGAAGATTGAGGAGCGTAGAGAAGCAAAAGCCGCGATAGAGCGGGCGAGAACCAGAGGAGCCAAGAACGAAGCCCGTCAACGGTACTCGGCTCTAGAGAAGGAAGTCAAGCGCTCTTGCAGACGGGACAAGCGAGCGTGGGTGAACTTCCTGGCCGACGAAGGGGAGGAAGCCGCAAACACTGGTGATATACGCCTTCTCTACGATATCTCACGACGCCTGAGTGGAGCAAGGATGAACCCGAGGATGCCAGTGAAGGACACGACTGGACAATTGCTTACCGACCCCACTGACCAGCTGAAACGCTGGTTTGAGCACTTCGAACAACTTCTTCAAGTTTAGACGGCCAACCAGCCATCAACATCTCGGCATTATCTGCCTAGGGTGCGGCGCATCACTCGCGTCAATTCCGAGGCCCCATCACTGCAGGAGATTGAAGCAGCTATCCGAAGCATGAAATCCAACAAGGCTCCAGGGGTCGAT